GGATTACAGGGGTGTGCTGTCACTGGATGGGGTTCCATCTCCCCAGAGAGGAGATGACCTCAGCTCACTGCCCCCCCCACAGTCGGTTGACAGCAGAAAAGCATTCAGGAGGCCTGACTTAGCCACGTCTCTCTTGTGTGTTAGGGATGGAACCCAGGGCCCTCCCAGTGAGCTACATCTCCAGGCTTTTAAAAAGGTTTAATATTCTTTTTAAATTTTGAAACAAAGTCTCACTGAATCACTTAGTTGCCCAGACTGGGTTCAAACTTGAGACCCTCCTGCCTCAGCCTCCCAGAGTGTTGCAATCACAGGTATGCTACCACGCCGACTGGAATGGCAGGGCTGCCAGTGGCTGTCCCTGTCCTCACTGACGTCCTCTGTCCCCCGTCCGCACCCCCGCCTGGTACCTAACACTGAGGGAAGCCAGCACCTCTGACCTCTCAGGCTTCCGAACCAGACTGTTTTCTTCTCGGCCTGCGCTCAGCCAGGAAATCGGGGCACAGAGCCACACGGACCCACTCTTGCAGTGCTCAGCTAGGGGCGAAAGCCCGAGACGCAGCCCCCAGGACAGTCTGCCCACCCCGCCTGCCGTCGGGGGCACCTGTGTCTCTCACCACAGCAGGCGCCCCCTCATCACTCACTTCCAAACACACGTTTCCCTTTTCTTTCTTTTTTCCCTTTTTTGAGACAGGGTCTCCATATGTAACTCAGGTCGACCTTGAACTCCCTGTGTAGCCCAGGTTGGCCTGGAACTCTTGGCGATCCTCCTGCCTCAGCCTCCTGAGCGCTGGGATCACGGGCGTGTGCCTCCATGCTGGCTTTGCAAGGTTTGGTTTCTGACCCACAGGTTTTTTGCGGGGGTTGAGACCAGGTCTCAATATGTAGTTCAAGCTGGCCTCGAACTCACTTTGTAGGCCAGGCTGGCCTTGAACTTGCATCAATACTCCTGCCTCAGCCTCCTAGGTGCTGGGATCATAGGTGCGTGCCATCATGCCTGGCTACACAGTATTTATTTATTTTTTCCACAGTATTTATTTTTAAAAGGAGCTAAGGAAGAAGCTGACTCCCCCTCCAGAAGAGTTCCTGGGGAGATCACAGTAGAGGAGACAGGCGGCACCGGGCCATCCGGGGACTCCCCGGGAGCTGGTTAAATGAGAGCCTCCTGCCCTGCACGGAAGTCCAGGCACCCAGGAATGCGGCTTCCTAAAGAGCTCCGGGGAGGGAGGTCACTGGGGGACAGCGGTGTGGCTGAGCCACCTGGCCGGCTCCGTGTCACCTGGATGTGACAGATTAGAGGAGGACCAGCCTGGAGCCTTCACATTGCCGGGGCCCCCATGCCCTCGGCAGCACTCACATCCAGCCCGGCCCTCAGAGAGGCAGGGAGGCCCCGAGGGCGAGGTTGTGGGCCACCTCAGGGGCCACGGGAGCCCTCTGTCCCCAGCCCTGCTGTGCTGACTCTGCTGCTGGTAGTGCGCACCTGTCATCTAGCACTCTGGGAGGCTGAGGCAGGACGATGGCAAGTTCAAGCCTGGCCTGGGCAACTTAGTGACGTAGTGAGACCCTGTCTCAAGATACAAATGGCTGGGGAAGTAGCTTAGAGTGCAGGCTGGATGCAACCCCAGGACTGGAAGAGAAAGAGTGGGCGGATCTCACGTGGCAGGGATCTCACGTGGTGGGATCTCACGTGGCAAGGACCTCACGTGGCAGGGATCTCACATGCCAGGGAGCTTTGCCCAGTCCAGCCGGTGGAGACCACTAGTCCCTCCAAGGCGAGCGTGCTGGGGACGGAGAAGCAGCCCACCCTCCGCAGAGCTCCTGCGGCCCCATTTGCCTTACTCCGCGTGGCACCAGGAAGGAGTTACCAGGAGAAGCTGTGGAAGGAGGAGGAGGATTCTGGTCGCAGGGGCTGTGGGCAGTGGGGAGGGATTTTTTTTGTGTGTGTGCCTTTTTATCTTTTTGAGACAGAGGTCGCTATGCAGTTCAGGCTGGCCTTGAGCTCACTTTGAAGCCCAGGCTGGTCTCGAATTCACAACAATCCTCCTGCCTCAGCCTCCCGAGTGCTAGGATTACAGGCATGCGCCACCATGCCCAGTTTGGGGAGAGATTTTTAAAACAGACATCTCTAGAGTGGGGCGAGGTGGTGCCCACCTGTCGTCCCTGCACTTGGGAAGCTGAGGCAGGAGAATCGCTGGGAGTCTGAGGCTAGCCTGGGCTAAGTCGTGGAGACCATCTCAAAAAAAAGGAAAAAGGAGGAATTTCAGGGGCTCCTTTTGAATTCTGCCAGTGATGGCTTAGTAAAAGCCAGGATAGAGTTTCAGCGAAGGCGGTGGAAATGCTGCACCCTGCCCCTGAGACTGGAGGAGCCCGCTGATCACGGTGCGCTGTGCCTGAGGCGGCGAGACCCGGGCCGCTGTCCAGCCCCGCGGGCGGCTGTGTGGGAGAAGGTAGCCCGGGCAGAAAGTGAACAGCGCCCCCGAGTGGCTGAAAGCGGGCAAGGCAAAGGGGGGCGGACAGGGGTCGCCGGGCACGTGAGCTGGCGGGCCCTGCGGGTGGTGAGGCGCGCGGGGCCCCTCCACGCCGGCGGAAGGGCAGCTGTGGCCCGTACCCCGCTGTGTGCAGCAGGTTAGCGCAGACACTGCTCAAGGGACAGCAGGGCCCAGGGCGCTGTATGTCCAAGCGGAGCCCAGCGACCCCACCCTGCAGCCTCCCAGTGACGCAGGTGTGGTTGCTGTGGACGGGGCGGCCTGGGAGCCTGTCTCCTGTGGTCTGTCCCTCTTTCCTGCTTTACAGTGCCAGGGGCTGAGCCCACAGCCCAGAGTCCACCCCCAGCCGTTTTCTTTTCTTTTCTGTTTTGAGACAGGGTCTTGCCAAGTCACAAAGCCTCCCAGGCCAGCTGGAACTCATGGCGACCCTCCTGCCTCAGTCTCCCAGCGGGAGAGCAGCAGCTTCCTGGCGTGGCCTTGTGCGTGGCCCCTGGGGGAGGAGGCCGAGGGAGCTGCGGGGCCCAGGCCAGAGGTGCCCGTGGGGGTGTGGCCCGCGGCCCAGCTCCGAGACCCGCAGTGGCTGTGCGGCCCCAGCCGGGGTCGGGAGGCGTGGTCGTGCGCAGCAGGGGCTGCAGGGTCAGCGCTGCGCTGAGCCGTGGAGACGACGCGTTTCTGGTTTCTGCCTTGTGTGTACAGGGGAGACCAGCTGGGTCACTCGGAGGGTGTGGCTTAGAGGACAGGGAGGGCGAGGAGCCCCGGGCAGGGGGCCATTGCCCTGGCAAAGAAAGGCCCTGGGCCTCGAACTCCCTGGCCGAGTACTTAAGTGGAGAGCAGCCTGCTCCAGCCTCTCTGAGGTTTGCTGAGAGGGGAACCCGAGGGGACAGAAGAGCAGTCTCTCCAGGAGCTGGAGAAACCCAGGCTGGGCCCTGCGGCTGACTCGGGCGGGGCAGCCTGTCCTGCGCTGAGTCCCTCTTGGAGCTGCTGGTGGAGAACGACAGCCTCGTGCCTGGAAGAGCGCTGTCCAGCTTTGCTGTTTTATTCACACTGGGGGACTCAGGGCCGGCCTCCTGTTCTTTGTCTCTTTCAGACAGGGTCTTGCTATGTGGTTCAGGGTGGCCTGGAGTTCACTATGTAGCCCAGGCTGGCCACAAACTGGCAGAGATCCTCCTGCCTCAGCCTCCTGAGAGCTACAATCACGGGTATGCCACCACGCCCTTCTGCCTCTCCAGTCTCTTGCCTCAGTGGCACCTGGGAGCCACTCCAGACTCCTCTGTGCAACTGGTCATCCGGCCTCCAGTTTCCGTGGGTGGGCACCGTGCCAGGCGCCTGCAGGGGGACACGATCCAACCCTGCCCTCGGGGCTGGCACAGCCAGGGACTCAGAGGACACCTGTACAGTGTCAGGGCCCATGGTCTGGGGGCCGGAGAGGCTGCACCCCAGGCAAGGAAGGGGGGGTCTGGGGATGTGGCGGCCTTCAAGGGTCACAGGGCCCTGGGGGACAAGTGCTGGCGACAGGGCCCGGGGGTGTGTGTGTGTGTGTGTGTGTGTCTCTCACGCAGCCCCATCCGTCCTCTGCATGCTGTGAGGCTTCCGTCCTTCAGTTTGTGAGACAGGGTCTCGCCTCGTGATCAGGGCTGGTCTCGGATCACAGCCCTCCTGCCTCAGCCTCTCAAGTGCTGGGGTCACTGGGCACCACCATGCCCAGATCTTGGTCTTTGTCAGAGGACAGAGAGGGGAGTTTGATGGGAGAGGCAGAGGGGAGCTCTAGGGACCGCAGTTATGCACAGAAGTCACTGGGGAGGGTACCGTGGCTCAGATGGCCAGCAGAGGGGGATGACGGCCAGCAGACGGCGTGGCCCCATCAGAGAGCCCTGTCCCCTCCCACGGCCTGGGGCACCCCGCTGTGTCCCCACACCCTGGGCCAGGCTGCTGTCACACTCCAGCTCCCATCGGGACAAAAGAAACCGGCCACTCATGTTTCACGGCTCCAGTGGGGTTCAGGCCCTGTCTGCCCTGCAGGAGCCTGCAGACGTGGCCTCACCTTGTTCCAGCGTCACCTGCCCCCCAATGCCCTGTCCCTTACTTCATGATGGAGTAGAGGGCACAGGTCCACACACCTGTCATCCCAGCACTTGGGAGGCTGAGGCAGGAGGGTCACCATGAACTGCACACTGAAACCGTCTCAAAAAACCAAAGACACACAAAGGAGGTCAAGGGCGAAGGAGGTCAAGAGCGAAGGAGGTCAAGAGCGAAGGAGGAGGAGGGTGAGCGGAAGCTTCCAGAGCCAGACAGACCCTGGAGGAGGGGCCCGGCTGCATCACAGATCAGGCGCAGGGTGGCGGAGAGAAGGGACCTGGACACTCCCGCCCCCAGCGCCACCTCCCTGTCCCCAAACACACTCCGCCTGGGCAGCCGGGAGCCCCGGCCGCTCGGGGGACCCCTGGATGGCAGGGGTGGCACAGCCCGCGACAGTTCTGATAGCCGCTTTGTGACCCGGCGGTGCTCACGGCAACCGGAGACTGTGACACGCGTCCAGGCGGTGAGGTCACAGAGTGCCGGCCTTCAAGTCCACGATCCACGTGAGCCGCGCCTAATTTTAAGAGCAACCTCTCCGAGGAGCGTAGAGCAATTTTTTTCCCCCGAGTGCCCTTTCCGAGGTACTCCCCGAACGACGAGGTGTGACTGCCATGGCTGCACTGAGTTGTCTCCTGGACAGCGTGAGGAGGGACATCAAGAAGGTGGACCGCGAGCTGCGGCAGCTGCGCTGTGTGGACGAGTTCAGCACGCGCTGCCTGTGTGACCTGTACGTGCACCCCTACTGCTGCTGCGACCTGCACCCCTACCCCTACTGCCTGTGCTACTCCAAGCGCACGCGCTCCTGCGGCCTGTGCGACCTCTACCCGTGCTGCTTGTGCGACTACAAGCTCTACTGCCTGCGCCCGTCCCTGCGCAGCCTGGAGCGCAAGGCCATCCGCGCCATCGAGGACGAGAAGAGAGAGATCGCCAGGTAGGGGCAGGCTGCGGGGCCACGGTGGGCGGGCGTGGGAGCCTGGCGCTGAAGGGGGCGCGGAGTGAGGGCGCTTCGCGGCTGGAAAGTGCTCCCCTTCCCAGCACTGGGGAGGCTGAAGCAGGAGGAGCTCTGTGAGTTCTAGGCCAACCTGAACTACCTAGCGAGGCCCTGTCTCAAAAAACCAAAACACAACAAAAAAGATGAGAAGTGTTAGACGCACTGGCTCTGGGGACTGAGGAAAGAGGAGAAGAGAGAAGGGTACAGGGCCCCATGGGGGAGCGAAGATCCCCTAACGACAAGGCAGCGCTGCTGGCGGAGGGCTGGTGCTGGCTTACAGCAAGGATGCCAGCTTGATAAATACGGGGGCTTTCATGAGGGACAAAGCTGGGGGGTTGATCCAGTGTGGTGCGCACGCCTGTAACCAGCACTCGGGAGGCTGAGGCAGGATCACCACGAGTTTGAGGCCAGCCTGGTCTACACAGTGAGTTCAAAACCAGCCTGAAATACACAGCGAGATCCTGTCTCAAGAAACAAAACAAGACAAAATTTTAAAAATCAAAAATAAAAAGAGCCAGCCGTGGTGGCTTACTCCTGTAATCCCAGCGCTCTGGAGGCTGAGGCAGGAAGACTGCTGAGTTTGAGCCTAGCCTGGGCTACAAAGTGAGACCCTGTCTCAGAAAATAGAAAAGAAAGAAAGAAAGAAAGAAAGAAAGAAAGAAAGAAAGAAAG